TTTTTCTAACTTCAGGGTACTAACCCACCAGCTTTTGGCTTTATTATCAGTCAGTACCAGTTAAAGAAAAAAAAAAGACAGAAAGAAAAAATATTAAATATATATTCTAAAGTTTAGAGTTGAGAAAAAGAGTAAGAGAGGTAACTTTGGAGAATTAGCAGGATTAGGACTGTGTATGAAACTAAAATAGTGTCATGAAATGTCTTTGCCATTTCACTCTTCCCTCAAGTTATCTAGACTCTCCAAAAAGGACAATCAAATAATACGGGCTAGTGTCGCCAGCCCTGATATAGGCCAGCTGTGCAGAAAACAGCAGAATTACACAGAATGAAGAGCAGGCCCCACTGTTTAAATCACTGGAAATTTTAAGTTATAGGTACATATTTAAATGCCTGTGTGATGTTCTGAACAGTCTTCCTATCCAGACTATTTGGTGACAAAGTTCTCAGACCTTAGGTCACACTCCATTTGCTTGGTGGGAAATCACTCAAAAATACTGGAGAAAAAAAAATGAAAATAGACTTTAAAGCCATGGCAATACTCAAGCAGCTCTAAGAGTCTCATATCGAAAGCCAAGCATTTCTTATAATTCCTGTATTTTCTTATATTTTTTATATTTTTCTTATATGTTGACAGAAAAACTGCTGTAAAATAAAAATAAACATCCCATGATAGTTACGTACTATATACTTAGTACTTATTATAGACTAGACATTGTGCTCTGTGCACATTATGTGTATTATATCATTTAATTCTCACAACAATTCCGGGAGATGGGTGCAGCTATTATACCGATTTAGCAGATATGAAATTGAGATTCATAGCAATTGAGTGACATGCACAAGACCATATAGATGGTCTTACGATGAAGCTGGGATTAGAACCCAGATTTGCTTGACTTCAGAACTAAAGACATAACCTTTCCCTATAATATACTTAATTACAAAAATCCCTAGTATTGATAACGTACTGAGCAGTGTATATTATTTACGATCATATATATATGCTTTTGGAGGACAGCACTCCTTGTAAATATAATCCGATTATACTTGGTTTATAATTCAGCTAAACCTAAGAAGCATTTGAAGTAATTTTACAGTGAAAGGTACCTATACAATAACATTTAAGATCATCATTGACATTTTGGAAAAACAATCATCAAGGAGGAAAAGTATATTTCCCAAGTAGATGAAAAGCATTATGAAAACTGAGCCTTGTATGTAGTTCTAACCTTACAGATAACCTAGGCAAAAAGCTAAATCATACGTAATATTCGTCATCTGATCAAAGGAAGCAGACCAGTTTGTCAGGAGAGACATTTTCTTGAAACTGAAGTCCAAAAAAGACCCAAGCAATTCAATGTCAATAGACATTGAGCAATAAACATCTGGTTATGAAACATGCACTGCACACCCACTGAGCTTTG